GGTCCACGACCCTCTTGGGGACACTCCCATAGGGCTTAAAATCTGCGACTCCCCATCAGTTGCTCTTAGAACTGAAGAAGGTTCTCGGATGAGAGGCGAAACGTCTTCAAGGAAACTTAAAGAAGTCCAGACGCTTTTTTAAAAATTCCAACCTCCTTAGACAATCGTATGCTTACCCTAACGACTCTGAGATTTTATAACGTAGTCCTGCTATTCTGTGCCGAAGTTCTCCTTACATCCCTCAGACAAACATCCGGAGTTTAAGGAGGGACATGGTGACTCCAGCTTTCTTTGCACGTGCTACTGATGGAGCGATTGAACGAGACGCTGTGACGTCTGCAAGCTATTTCTGGATGTACTACAATCAAACACTAGATGGAGCTACAGAGCTGCAGTCTCATCTAGCTGCCTCACATTGGCACTTAAATCAATCTTCCTGTTTTTGTCTCAAATGATTCCTCAGATAAATTCCAAGCTGCCAGATTTTTTCAGAACATATTCTAACATAAAGTTAAAAAAAGGGAGAGAGGTAGCTTTTTCTGATAACTACACACTAAAAAGCATTAGGGAAGTATTAATAAATACTTAGTTCATTATTTCTAAAGCATGACTTTTCCTTAGCATGCCATTCATATACACTAATGTTAGTGGTATATTAATGATGAAATAGCTCGTATATAACATCATATATAACTTTAGCAAGTTCTTTCAGGACACTTTTGGCTTTTCCTGCCACAAATCCTTGCCACGCCCTTCGGAAAGTGTACTGTGAAGCTTCCACAGGATAGGTTGTTGCTCTCCAGCCTCTCTCCAAGCACTATTTCATTCTATAAATGCTTTGTAAGACATAGATCGTCCTAACTTTAGATGATGTACACACAAAAGAGTTAACTAACAACTTGTAACTGTATGAATTAACCATGAATTACCATATGAAATAAACAGCTATGGAAACGTTTCTATTATCACACTCACAAACAACTAGCTCATTTTATAAGCTGTGTCTGTATTAATGTGCATCTAAATACACTGTTAATAGTTGATGCCACTTTCTAAATGATGTCATTAACAGCTCCCAAAAAACAGGACCTGATGTAAAACTTTCTTTAGTAATGGTTAATCCCTCATCTATAGGAGGAGTAATGTTTTCTAAATGATGAACTACATATTCATCGACACCTTAGTAATGCTTAATAGTGTCCAGTTAATATAAAGTGTTGACATTTTTGTGATATGGCACAAGATCCGATTTGGATTCAGATCTTGTGCCATAAAAAGTTTTATAAAAATGTATTTGAGCATTACCACCTGCTCTCTTTGCACAATGATTGCTTTAGAGGTCATATGTTTTTATGTAATCATTATTTTTATTATTATTATTATTATTATTATTATATATTACTTAATGTAGCATTTCATTGGGTAGTTTTATGATGGTAAATAATGTCTGCTAATTATATATTGATTATATGAGCAAAATAAACCATATTGGCCTCTAACAGTTAGTGACCTTTGAACCCAGTTGCTCCTGTAAGATTAATTAAACTGTTCTTAATTTGTTTTCACCTTTTTCTGTTTTTTTTTTTTTTAAATGGCAGTTACATTCATATGCATTCATCTCTGCAGTGCATTCCTTAAACAAATGTTAAAACATGGTCACAGTTTTTATTTTTGGCCCACACAAACTGCTCATATGTGAAAATGTGAAAATACATAAATGTATGGACTTAAAGAAGCCTTTCTTCCACTGCTGGTATATTGAATCTTGTGTTAACCTTTCAGTTTCTCCTCAGTCAATATCTGAATACACAAAACTTCTAGCTGACTCATTTTAGATCTAAAATTCACAATTTTCTCTAAGAACCTTCTGCTATCTGTTTAGATTAGCTCCATTTTTTCCCCGCCTGTTGATCTGGAAGGTGCAGCTGCTGACAATATAGATCTGTGATGGTGTGGGCTTGTGTGTCTATGAGTGTGGGCGCTGGCGTGTTGTTGCACTTAAGCTTTATTAAGTGATGCAGCCCCAGTGTAAGGCAGAGGGTGTTTATAATCAAATTATTTGGACCGGCAATCCAATTTTCCAAGACAGAATAGAGTTAGATTTTGTGTATGCGTGACAGTGTGTGTGTTTATGGCGTGATGTTTGCGCATGAGAAGGGTCTTGGGATTTCATGCTTTCTTTGTGTGTTTTTGTTAAATAGCCTTTCTGTGTGTGTGTGTGTGCGCATGACTTTGTGTCTCTGTGAATGGAGAAAAGACAAATCATGAACAAGACCCAGCCTTTGATAAAGCAAAAATATATATAGCACAGTCTTATTTACTGCAGAGACTGGAACAGTTAACTGTAGTCTGTTATCAGGTTATCTACAGATTTCAGGCTGCATGGCTTCAAGGGGAATTCTTGGATCTGGTGATGCTCCATCTCACCATGTCTTCCCATTTTTTGCTTAAAGAGGAGCTTATGAGTGTGAGTGTGAATGTATTTAACCCTGTCTAGCTTCTTTTAGGCCAACCAGATCTGAGAGCCTCTGCCGGCACAAAGAGGCTTTTCTGCCATTTCAGCATCTCTTCCTGTCCCTTTCTTCCTGCCTGCTTTAGAGGCAGTTTCCATAGAAACAAGTTGCAGGATGCCCTTAGAGAGAAAGATGGTAGATGATGGGGTAAGATGACAGCAGAAGTTGAACGAATGAAATGATTAGCCAATTATACTGATTTATAGTGAGCGCTTGTTTATTTTTTCCCTTTTACACTTACTAATGTAATATAAACATCCACACTTATACAGGCAGGGAAGCTTGTTCCTCGAGCTCGGGGGTCTGTCTGTCTCCTGTCAGCAGAAACAGATGGACTCTGTCTTTTCTGAATGTGTGTGTAAAAGAAAAATGCATGCAATGTGCTTGGGGGCAGAGGACTGAACAACAACCACCCCTTGCTGACCTCCTCATCGTTCTCTCGCTTTCTCTCTCTCTCACACACACACACACATCCAGGGTTTGAGATCGTGTGACGCAATAGTAACTCGGTCAGTGAGTGTCACTACTTCTCTGTAACGCCCCCAGGCTGCAGCAGGCACTTGGCCTATGAGCCACCTTTCAGCCTCCACTCACAGCCCAGCAGGAAGCATCAGAGCTGGGGTAGAAATGGGGGAAAGTGTGGGTCAGTCAGTGCCCCGAGGACTGAAGCTGAAATGTAGGTCTTCTTTGTGGTTGATTGGGTTCATGAATCATTGCTGATCGCTTTCTGTGCATGACCAGCACGTGAACACATAGACATGATCAGCGATGCTCTTCTGGTCTCAAGCAAACGCATCCTTGAAAAGAACTTCATCTCCTTGTCTGAATTTTGTCAAAGTCACTTTAACTCCATAGGAGTGCTTTTGCATTGGCAAAAAAAAGTTATCTTAATGGAAACCATGCAAGCGCTTACAGCTATTACTCAACTCCTGGACTTGGACCTTTGTGACATATCTGTGCTTTCTCTCCCTTTGTTTCCCATCCTCTGCACTCGCTGTGAGAGAGCATGGTGTTCACATATGGATTTTGTTGTCATGACTGACCCATGCTTGCCCTTTACCCCGTGTGATTTTTTTTGCCACGCAGTTACTGCACATTAAACAAACATGACTAACTATGACTAGAGATGTAAATAAAGAAGACACTGTGATTTTATCCGCTGTTCAGTTTGTAAAGTCCTGTTAAAAAGAAATGCTTTTAATTCATTTCAATTTAAATTTATTTGTATAGCACCAAGTCACAACAACAGACACCTCGAGGTCCTTTATATTGTAACCCCCTAAGAGAAAAGCCCTCGGCAACAGTGGGAAGGAAGAACTCAATTTTAGCAGGAAACCTGCTCCAGAAAACTCCAAAAACTCCTCCACCAGGCTCAGGGAGGAGTAGAGGGGTGTGGGTATCTGCCACAACTGGTTGGGGGCGCGATAGAGACAGAAGACACCTAAACACTTAACACTTAACCTAATATGGATGTCTTTGGCCAGTGGGAAAAAGCTTGGGTACTCGGAGAGAACCGAAACGGGCACAGGTAGAACAAACTAATCCCACCCAGCCAGTGAGT